AGGAAACTCGCTTGAGCCCAGGAGTTGGAGGTTGCTGTGAGCGTGATGCCATGGCACTCTACCCAGGGGGATAGCTTGAGGCTCCGTCTCAAAAAAAATAAAAAGAACAGGACCCTGCACTGCAAGGCATCACTTTACCTTTAAAGAAAAATAAGACCTAAGTCTCACTTTCTGTGTATCAGACAAGGAGGCTGCTATTGTCTGGAGGATGCAGAAAAAAAACAGAACCTTCTACTGGGATCTAGGGTATGAGACCAGAAATATACTGGGAGAATGCTACATTTTAAGCTGATAAATTAACCTTTGCCCCTAGGCAAAATTATCTTTGCTTAAGGCTGCCCACACACAACTGATTGTTTTTCTGTTCTGGATCAACCATGTGGGCACAAAGAGACAGAGTAGCAAAAAGAGAAAGGGCCTGGGACACTTCTTGATCAAGGGCAAGAACTGGGAGGGAGTGAAAGGAGGAAGTGTCCCTAGAAACCCAATGGGGGTCTGAGGGGTAGCGACAATTTCTCAGAATTTTCAGGAAAGACACCAGGCAGCCAAGCTACAAATTGCACAGAATTTGCCATGATTCAGGCCCTTGGGCTTTGCCCCACACCCTGCCGGTTTGGAAACCCCCTGCATGGAGGGGAGGAGCAGTCCTTAAGATCAGGAGTGCAGAAGAGACACTGTACCTGCTCCAGGAGGAGGACCTGCTTCCTGTGTTTGGCCAGGTGGTATGCAGTGAAGCAGCCCTGGATGCCGGCACCGAGCACAATAGCATCCCAGAAATCTTTCTGAGCAGCCATGGTGCCCACTTGGTCAGCCCTACAGTCACACAGCCCAGGTAGGAGAAGGCAAGCAAAGGTGGCTCCCCTGCTGAAGAGGAAGGCAAAGTCCAGCCTGGTCAGTGTTCCCACAATCCCCTGGGGCCATGCCCTTCCCCCATCTCCTCTCCCTCCCTTCAAGCCTGGCACAGGACTCAGGCTCCCTTCCTCTGCAGAGCAGAACTGGGTAGTCTGATTTGTGAGGTTTAGCCCAGCTCAGCTGCCAACCTCACCCTTGCATCCCTCTAGCTTTCTATTCTTGGCTCAATTATTGTCATGCAAATGGGCTCCTTCCTTTGCCACCTTCCTGTCTCATTATGATCTTTGTCTCAGGACTTCTGCCCTGGAATTTCAATGGCTGGGAGACCAAGCTGGGCACTAGGAATGCTGCCTCCCCCTGCTGGCTTTCCCCCTCCTCAGCCTGATTTCCTTTAGAGATTCTAGAGGGTCGAGCTTAGAACTTGGTGCAATGCCCATTGTTAGGCCCACCTTCCTGGTGGGTGGTGATGTCAGGGGGTACAGGTAGAGGCCCGTTGGGAGGGCGGTTTTGTGATTATGAAACTATTCTCAGCATGTTTTACCTTCGTTTTGAAGAAAGGAAAATAAAATAATCCTGAAAAAATGGGAAGGACAGAATGAGATAGGAGCCCTCACGTCAGCTATAGAGGGGAGAAGGCATCAGCCTAACAATTGTGCGCCTAGTACTAAGCACACCCTGTACTAAGCTAGGCAGTGTGCATAAGTGTCGTGACTGGCACCGGGGACAGAGCCAGGATCTGTATGACCTGATTCCTACAGTTTTAGGGTCCTTTTTAAGAAAAGGCACCCATAGCACAGTGGTTATGGTGCCAGCCACATACACCAAGGCTGGCGGGTTCGAACCCAGCCCGGGCCAGCTAAACAACAATGGCAACTGCAATAAAGAATAGCCAGGCTCGGCGCCTGTGGCTCAAGCGGCTAAGGCGCCAGCCACATACACCTAAGGTGGCGGGTTCGAATCCCCAGCCCGGGCCCGCCAAACAACAATGATGGCTGCAACTAAAAAATGGCCAGGCGTTGTGGCAGGCGCCTGTAGTCCCAGCTACTTGGGAGGCTGAGGCAGGAGACTCGATTGAGCCCAGGAGTTGGAGGTTGCTGTGAGCGGATGCCATGGCACTCTACCCAGGGGGATAGCTTGAGGCTCCATCTCAAAAAAAAAAAAAAGAATAGCCAGGCGCTGGCGGAGCCGGTGGCTCAAAGGAGTAGGATGCCGGCCCCATATGCCAGAGGTGGCGGGTTCAAACCCAGTCCCGGCCAAAACTGCAAAAAAAAAAAAAAAAGCTGGGCGTTGTGGCAGATGCCTATAGTCCCGCTACTTGGAGACTGAGGCAAGAGAATCCCTTAAGCCCAAGAGTTTGAGATTGCTGTGAGTTGTGACGCCATAGCACTCTACTGAGTGTGAAATAGTGAGACTCTGTCTCAAAAAAAAAAAATAAAAAGAGAGAGAGAGAAAAAAAAAGAGGCCAGGCACAGTGGCTCAAACATGTAAACCTAGCACTTTGGGAGGCTAAGGTGGGAGAATCACTGGAGCCCAAGAGTGTGAGACAAGCCTGGGCAATAGTGAGACTCCCATCCCTACAAAAACAAAATTTTTTTTTTAATTAGCCAGACACAGTGGCATGCGTCTGTAGTGCCAGATACTTGGGATGCTGAAGCAGGAGAATCGCTGGAGCCTAGGAGTTTGAGGGTACACAGTGAGTATGATGATGCCACTACATTCTAGTCCAGGCAACATAACGAGACCCTGTCTCAAAAAGAACAAAGGAAAAGGAAAAGAAGAATTATGAATCCAAAATTAAGTGCCAGGACTTGGAAGAAACCATTCACTTAAGGAGCCCTGTGGTTGAAGTGTCATTAGCGTCGTGGTAAATCTGCCTTGCACGTTATATAATTTGATCCTCATAGCCCTAGAAGTAAGAATTTTTACCCCCACTTTTGGCAGATTAAAGGTGGCCTCAAATTCTTTGTCATTCCCATCAAAGCCTCTGTGACTACCTACAGATAGAATATGGCAGAAGTGACACTTTCTGGCCCAGCCCTTAAGAAACTACAGCTTCTTCTCGTCTTAGAGCTTGTCCCCTTTGAACCCTAAGCTCAAACACCTGTGAGAGAAGCCACATGGAGAGGGCCTAGGACTACGAGGAGAACTAGTGTACCAGTGAGGCCATCTTGGCTCAGGAGGCTGAGGCAGAAGGATTGCTTGCTCCTAGGAGTTCAAGACTCCATATGAAAAAAAAAAAAAAGTGAAGCTATCTGGATCCTCCAGCCCAGCCCAGCCACCAGCAAAACACCATTCAGGGACCCAATTGATGTCACGTGGTGCAGAAGAACCACCCAGGCAAGCCCCATCAGAATTTTGTTGTTTTCAGCCACTAAGTTTGGGTGTTT